ATTAGGTATCAACTTTATTCCGAAAAATTGTCATGTAACTTTTTAGAAAATTAAATTAGTGAATAATTTGATGAATTTTCCCTTTGTGAAATCCCAATATTATTATACCTTCCTCTAAAGAACCTTTAATTTGGTTTATTATAAATAATAACTATTTATCATTGTTAGTAGTTATGGAAAAATGCTAAATATAACTTTTGGAAGAATTGGATGATTAAATAAAGAAAAAAAAAAGAAAAATACTTATCCAGGTTGAAAATGAATATTCAAAAATAATAGTCAGAAGGTATACCTATAGTATATCGTTGGAAAGCGGAAAATTAAAAAACAAAACAATATATAATATAGAAAGTTGTAGAAGCTAACGGAGAGTGACGAAAATAAATAAATAATAACTTCTAAAAACTAACATTATTTAACGTAAATCAGATGTTTTCATGTTAATTTTTGTAGGCCACCTTTTTTCATCGATTTTGTGATCAAATTTTCTTATGATCCAAATAGAAAGCAAATGGGTATTTACGAGTTTTTAGTACCTAATTAAACAGACAAAGTTTGCTCCCCTCCAGATGGAAACCGCCCCGATTCCAAGAGTTTGCGGAAAGAAAATAGTTGTAGGGTACGATGAGATAAAGCTATTTACGAAGTTTCAGGTAGATGTTAATAACACGATAAAAATAGGTCTGCATCACGGACTAATTTTTATTCAAAGTTGAGCGGTAAGTGAAAGTTGTGTGTTGTGCGCACCAGTCTTTTTTTTTTTTCCTTTTATCATACTGCATACAACTTTTTATTTTCACTTACATATATATGTAATACATAGTAAGTGTAAGTATTGCGATCGTGAACATTTTTGAATCGGAGTTTTCAACGGAAATACACGTTTTGAGGTCTGCTGATAAATAACCAAGTCCCGAAAAATGGTCTGTGTGTATGTGAACGCTATAGCTTGAGACTGAAAAGTCGCACGAAACTGATATTTCATATTTTAGATAGATATATGCCTTAGATGTTCTAGCAACTTTTTCCTTACAATCGGCTAATCGGAAGTGCCACTTTATATCAATGCTGAAACACATTTTTACAATTTTCTCAAAAACGGCTCTAACGATTTTGATTAAACTCGGTGTATCATTGTATAATTAAGTGGTCTTTAATATCATTTAGGTCTTATCCTCGTTGATGTCACTTTATATGGCTTGAATGCCCAATATTCATATGCATCTGACTCTAAAGTACCTTTAATATGCTTTATTTTAAATAATCAACTATCTCTCATTGTTAAAAGTGACGAAAAAATGTTAATTATAACTTTTGAAAGAATTTGATAATTGAATAAAGAAGAAAAAAATAAAAATGCTTATACAGATCGAAAATGAATCTCCGGAAATAATAGTCAGAAGGTATGCCTATAATATATCGTTGGCAAGCGGAGAATTTTAGAGAAAAAAAAACAATATCTGATATAGAAAGTTGTAGAAGGTAACGGAGAGCGGCAAAGAAATTATAAATAATATTTTTTGAAAACTGGTAATATTTAACGTAAATCACATGTTTTCAAGGAAATTAAATAAAATTTACTAACTAAATGTCAACTTTAAAAAATATTTTTAAGTTTGTAGAAAGTATTTAAAATCCACCTAATCAAGGCACTGACATTGTTAAAAAAACTATTTCATTGTACTTGTGTGAAAGAAGAAGTAAAATATAAAATCATTTCATGGATGTATAAAGCATAGGTTTATAACCTAACATGGGTGATAAATATTCAGGACGCAGTCTTTTAAAAAAATTTAAATTTTTTATTTCTGCCAACGTTCCAACCCAAACATGTGGGTCATCTTCAGGGCGTGGTTCGAGCACTGAATGCTTTCAAGTACTGAGTACTTGAGTACTCGAGGAATAGTTTATAACCTAAAATACATTTACTGTAGTTTAGTGATTATAGATATGATATTATATTTAAATAATTAGGTATCAACGTTTATAACAAAAAATTGTCATGTAACTTGTTAGAAAATTAAATTAGTGAATAATTTGATGAATCTTCTTTTTGTGATATTCCAACAGTATCCACTACTATTTCATTGTACTTGTGTGATAGAAGAAGGGAAATATAAAAATATTTCATAGATATTTATTTATAACCTTAAATACATTTACTGTAGTTTAATAACTCTAGGTTTGTTATTATATCAAATATATAGGTATCTATCGTCCGTTTATTCCTAAAAATCATCATGTAACCTTTTAGAAAATTAAATTAGTGAATAATTTGATCAATTTTCCCTTTGCGATATTCCAACAGAATCCACTTACAATTAGTGTGACAACTTTTGACCTGTCTATGACAGACAATGCAAATCTCTTAATGCCGTTTTAATAACCATTGCAATGGAAAATAACAGTGTAATAACAAATAATCGTACAATCCATAATCAACAGATCGAACAATCCATAATCAACGAATTGTACAATCCATAATCAACCGGTCATATAATAAATATGACTTATGTTATTTTAATAGTATCTATGACTTGTTAGCTGCAATCTTTTAACTTTAGCTCAGTTAAAAATTTTATAATAGGCCAACATGGCCAGAAAATAATTCCTATTCAAAGTTGAGCAAAGTTCAAAGAGTAAATGAAAGTTTTGTGTTCCGCGCACCATATTTTTTTATATTTAGGTGGTGTGATGAAATAAAAAAAAATTAAAGAAATCTTCATAATTAAACCACAAAGTTAAAATTCCTTGTGAAGTTTAATACCGAAGAAACCTCTTTTGTCTTTAATTTTCAAATTTTTGTGGATCCAGATCAAATCCTGACTGATAATATCTAAGGTAGTATACCTGATACAAATTGGGAACTGTAGCTTGAAAGTCAGAACATAAACAAAAAACGTCTGCCAAGTAAGGTCAGTATAGCTTCCTCATCGTTTGCATTGGATAAAAAATATCTATATTACAAGGCCTAAAATTTTTCGTACGAGAATAAAATCTCTGGGAGAAGCCGTTTTCGGAAATTCAGTAATCCCTCAACATATACGGGTTTGATAACCACGAGTTTTGTTCATCAGCAAATACTAAAATGCGAGTTCCGCATATGCAGATTGCATATTTTACGACTCGTGATTAAAAAAAAATCGAGTGCGTACTGACCATGAATATCTCTACTGTTAGTGCAAAAAGTCGTATGTAAACATTGAGTGTTATACAGCAAAGCATAAAAACTAATTGTTTCTTTATGATTTATTGGTATAATTTTATAATTTATTGCCCTGTGCTATTTTTCATCGTAGCAAAATGCTTATATCAGTTGCAGAATACAAAATGTTACCTTTAGCACAAATAGAATTAAAATTTGAAAATTTTTACATACGACCATTTACATCAACAGTAGTAATATGTACTTAATCAGCATGTTTTTACTCGTAAAATCGATGTTACAAAAACTCCATAAAAGAAATAAGAAAAACGTAAACTTTTTGTTTTTGCAGAGTTAACGAGACCAATACTTTTCTTCAGTCAGAAAAAAACTATTTTATCTGGATTATGAAAATATACGTAAAAATCGCACATAAATTTGATACCTCGACAAACTGGTCGAACTTCAATAGAAATAAACACAATCACAATTAAGATTTTTCTTTTTTACAAACTCAGAGTAAAAATAAAGTTATTGATTAATTTATTGATAAAATTTAAATTGATTGAAAATTACATGAAATCTAAGTAACTGCAGTAAGTGTCATGCCAGTAACGTTTTGAATCGAAGAAACAATACAGTATAAATTAACTCTTTGAATAAAACCTTAAATTTTATAACCAGATAAAAAAATTGTCATAACCTAACTCCCACTCCATATGATCAGTGCCTTTCACATTTCACTGTCATTATATTGTTAACAGCTATTTATATTAATTTTAATTATTCAATGGAATATTAGGAAATTTCTATACTATTCTCCAAATTTCCTCCAAGTTGGGGTCAAATTGAACGCGCAATTTTCAAACTATAGGCTTGCCAAATAATACGTTTGCCGGTTCCAAAGCGAAAATATTTTTTCTAGCGGAAGTGGATAGAATTTGATAAAATTTATACCTACTCAATTAACTTTTTACCAATCCCTAACTTCCCTCCAAATTTGAGCCAAATCGAACATGCGAGATATATACGTATCAAGGAAAACACGTTTGCGCATATATACGAGAAATTATTGGACAGAATTCAATAACATTGACATTACATTATTTTTTTACCATTACCTACCTTTTTTCTAACTTTGAGCCAAATCGAACGAGCCTTTTCTGAAATATTGGCATATCTAAAAAAATACGTTTGTGCGTGCCTAAGCGGAAGTGCTGGATGGAATTTGATAAAATGGATATGGGACCATCTAGGCACTAATCCGCATAATCCCTTAAAATTTCGTGAAAATCGGATGAACGGTACTAGGTGATACGCCCGTCACATCGATTTAACTACAGATAGACAGACACCAAACCAAATTTGATCTTTGATATCTGAAACGTAAAACGCGAGTGGAAATTTTCAATTCTTAGCACAACATTTTTTTTAACGTCGCACCAACACAATGCTTCCCTACCTTCCATAGTGAGGAAGCAAAAGTGTCTGTGTTAAACCAGGTGACAAATTAAGTGCTTACAGATCAGCCTGACCTTAATATCTTCCATGAATGAAGTGAGATTAAAATAACCATGCAGTTCTACAAGTGCCTAATCCTTAGAGGTGAACTTTAATGAGGCTGATTTATTATTTCAATTTATGAATTTTGTATTTGTCAGCTAACAGTTTATTTATTTGATAGTTGAAATGAAATATGTTGCGATTTCAAATAAATATTTTTTGGTTAACAATCAGTTTGATTATTACAAGAGTTTTAACAAATATTATTTAGTACCTAATAAATTATTTAGTTATGTTATTAAATTAATTGTATCATGAATATATTGGGTTATCAATTTGTATTATTTTCCAGACCACTTGTCCTGATAATCCCGACTTTGCTGTTCTTCGGTTTCATGCTGGACCACCTTATGAAGACATCGCATTTAAGATTGTTAATAGAGAATGGGAGTATTCGTACAAACGAGGATTCAGATGTCAGTTCCACAACAATATATTTCAGTTGTGGTTTCATTTCAAAAGATACAGATACAGAAGATAAATATATCTATATTTTTTTCATTGTGACTCCAATACATTTATGTTATTGGCTCAAAAAATCTGATTGAGAGGTGTTAGTGTTATGTATCTATTAGGTATAAAATCGGTGATATTTTTTTTTTTACTTTGAGGCTTAAAAAAAAAGTGATTGAAATGGAAAGCTAATTATTGTAGTTTATAATATTTAGATTTTAATATAATGTGGTTAATAAAATTATATTGTATATTAATTATTAAACTATAACAAATTTCATCATAGTATATTTAACAAATATTTTCTGAAAAAAAAAAGAACTTTGTCACAGTAAACAAATTGTAGCACGATTGATTTTACTTTTACTGAAATAATGAAAAACAAAGTTATACTTTAGCACAAAATTGTGAATAGATAATTTTTATTTCATTTAAGAACTCACATTAAGGTGTAAAGTATGGTCTAACCTTTTATAAAAAAAAAAATCTATTTGGAAAAAACATCAAAAGCTGCAAAACTGATTTTCCAGAAATATTGTTGTATACTGCCTGTTATTCAATGCTAGGACAGGACTGTGTCATGCAGAATTTTTTATTATCTTGATTCTTGCACGTAAACTTTTATGTGGTATTAATCAACTTTTCAGTAGAGAAATTTAAATGTTGTTTATATATTTTTATATTCTGTAATAAATTATATTTTAGCACACCAAATTTTATTTGTAATCTATTGATACAATACAATAAGCTAAGTGCATTATTGTAACTTTTGTAAAATAAGACATACCGACACAGTTTTGTTTTTAACCTATTTTGTCATATTGTTCTTAAACAACTTTGATGTATGGCATGGCAAATAACATTTGTAAGTGTTGTAAAAAAATCGATAATTATTTGTTAAAAATAAATATTATCAAGTTCTTATTATTATTGATTTATGAAATTTGAAACCTATTATGATTATTTCATATAAGAAGTCAATTTCATAGTAAATACCAAGAAAGCACTCTAAAACCTTTTTAATTGGATTTTCATTACTTAATATACCATTGTGTGATTAAATCTAGATAATGTCTACATTCATTTGTCTATTTTTCATCTCCCACCTTAGGTTTAATATTTCCTTATTTAGGGAGTTACTTTTGGCCATGAGTTCCGATTGACACCAAGAAGCATCTGGAATTGAAACATATATTTTAAAGGTGTTCATTCATTTTAGTGACAATTCCATTTTTCACAGTAACTTTCAAATCTGTTTTATTTAAATGCACCACAACTTCTTTTTATTTATTTATTATTTTCCTTTTTTTGGGTCCTCCCCTACCTCGCCTTCAAGGCTATACGTAGTTTTTCCAGGCCAGGCGATGAGGGGGGGATTTAAAACACAGGGCACTGGGTCGCGAACTTGACTATATTTATCAAGCTATCAATTGTCATTTTGCCACCCCTCCTCTACTCTTGCACCATAACTTGTTGAAACAACAAATTGGAATCATCATGAGATGATGATTAAGCCAGGGAACACTTTTCCGATACATTTCCTCCTTTTCTGGAATCCCATTCCTCTTCCTAGAGGAGTTAGTCCTAAAATGAAATATTATTTATAAAAACTTCCAGTAAATCTGCTTATTCCTCAGATACATCGACAACTCCCACCCAAAACTATCAAATTCCTCACATACATCTACAATGGCATCCTATCAACCACACATTTTCTGTTCTATTGAAACATTCCCCTATCATCATCTTTCTAAAAGAACATAAACCTATTAAGAGGTTTGTGTTATTTTAAGAAGATCTTATAGACCATAGCACAGGCGGATCTACGGGAAAGAGGGCTTTTCGGCCTGAGGCCTCTCTCCCCTCCTACCTTTGTTTCCCACCAATGATAATCACAAACCCCTGCAATTTTTTGGATTAGTATTCACAATAAATAGAAATAACAATATTTAGAAAGCTAGGAATTCAGTTAAAATCCATTTGGATATTCGAATGGAAAGTAAAAACTGTATTCAACAAGATTATGATGCAAAAATTTAAAGTAATTTATTAAACAATGTGATACTAGAAAAATAATAAATGAAATCTTAGGCTAACCCTCCGCCAGCATTAAAACCCTTATAGGAAATTGTCAATTGTTTAAATGTTCTTTAATTGTATTAATATTGGACATAGGTAGTGTATTAAGATTTCATTTCTTATTTTTCTAGTATCACACCGTTTTATAAATTACTTTAAATGTTTGCATCATAGTCTTGTTGAATACAGTTTTTACTTTACTTTTGAATACCCGTATGGATTTTAATTGAATTCCTAGCTTCCTAAGTATTGTTATTCCTAGTTATTTTGGATACTAATCCAAAAAAACACAGGATTTTGTAATTATCATTGGTGGGAAACAAATATTGAAATTTTAGAGGAATGAGATCATCCGGGGTGGCGGTTATTAAAAGACTAAAATAGTGAAAAAGTATTTTAGACGTTTCGACCCGACTTTTCAGAGCTAGAATGAACAAGATACAAGAGGGTATAGATAATTGTGGAAGTTACATAAGGAAATATTGAAAAGCAAAGTAAAAATAATATGAAATAATGGACTTAAAGGTCCACCACCTTCTTCCTACAAAATATACAATAGCCAACTATCAAGTATTCAAAAATTGAAATTGTTTTAACTTTCTTCTTGAAGACATGAAATCTATATGAATTGCATTTTTTTCTGGATGTAAACGAGAGAGTTTAAGAATAATGGTATTAGAAATAATACAATCCCAGATAAAGTGTCACAATTAAAACAAAATTTAAGTTAATCAAGTTCTTTCAATGAAACAGATTATTACAGCAGTATGTACTCCATTAGACTTAAAATATGTTTGATAGATAGAATGTTTATAAAAACTATAAGCATAAATAATATTAGATATGATTACTTTAATGAAAAAAAAAATGAAGTAATATCTTAAAATGTTGATGACTAGTAAAATCGAATGGGTATTCAATCTATATTTAGTTCCTATGAAGTGAAAAGTGAAGTACCCCCCAAAATTAAATCCTGGATATACTAGTGCTTCCAATGCTACTTTACTATAAATCTTTGAAAAGATATTTTTAAAATGAATCCTATTCATAATATAATTCTAAAAACTTCCTTCCTATCAGTTCGAATTAAGCTTGAAACATTCCACACTCCAAAGACATCAAACCATTTATAATATTTCTTCAGCCATAGAAAGCAAGCAAGCAACATTGCTTGTGTGGATTTCTGGACATAGCACCAGCTTTGGACTAGGTATGCCATGCAAAGTTACTTCACAACCTTATTAAATCAACAGACCACTATTCTACAATTGTTGCCTAGACAAGGCAGACATTTCTTATTTTTTATTTTATTTTCCTCCTTTCCTTGCCTGTTAGGCAATGCGGGTGGTTGCTGCAATGGAATGTTACTCATGCTAAAAACAATCCACTGCTGCAAGTAAGCTATTCACAATTAAATCTTGTGATGTTACTCTGTGCTATTGATGATTTTTCGTAATAATCTAACCTAACCATAAACTATCATTCAGAATAAGCGTTCTATCTCCACTCTAAAATTATGCGGGCATCATCGAAAGTATTACCTAAATCGTTTCGGATGTTATAAGGTTTATTTACTTGTCATGGTTTCTCGGTAAGACCAATGTTTTCCTTATCATATGTCGAATTCCCTACAGCACGTGGTTCATGAATAACGTATCGACAACCACACTGCATAAGCCTATAGTTAAAATTTAATTAGAATTGTGGATTTCAGCTTAGTCGGTTAATCTTAGCTTCGGATAAATTCATGAAAACGAACTAAAAAAAATATTTAGAATATTATGTTTTCGTCTTAAACATGTAATTAAAATTTAACTGAAAATATACTTCATAAAATAAGAAATAAGCGGTTTATTTGGTTTTATAAATAATTTTGTATTTTGCCGTGTGACTGTCGATATACATATATTGCATAGCATTTACTGATTGAATTTTCATTCTGGCTACAAGCGCTTGTTATCATATGGATTACGTACCCGATTCAGTAAATACAATGTTAACGATTTTAATGCTGTTTTTAATCGTAGCATATGGAAGTCCTGAACAGCCAAGGATAATTAAAGGACAAGAAGCTAAGCAAGGAGATTTCCCTTTCGTAGTGCTCTTGGAGGTTATTTATGATATGTCTGAAGGGCTATGCACTGGTTCGATAATCCATGAAGATTGGATACTGACAGCTGCACATTGCTCCGAGAACAGCAAGAACATCACAGTATATGCCGCTCTCGTCAATATGAAATCCACTGAATCTAGTGGTGTACAGGTTTTTACTTTTCACTATTATAAGCATTAGCCATATATAGATAGCCACTTTGCAAATGTCAGGAAGTCCTTTCATTTCTTTAAATAGATTTTCAATTCAATTTTATTGAATGCTTAAGGCAAAGATGTAATATTTTAAAAACGTTGTTGGTTGGTGTTATTAAATAGGAGGAACTGGTCGATTAGAAAAAAAAATAATGGCTTTAGCATTCTAACTCTCAATATTGCTTCTTAAATTAGAAAGTTCCGATTAGATCGAATAAGTTTATTTATTTTAATTGAATCACAATATTTATTTGGGTAATTTCTTAAATTTACAAATGAACATTGCAGTTCATTCATGCAGTTCAGGTTCGGTTTATTTATTTTTTTTATCTACTTTACTTCACATATGATTTTAAATTCTACAGGGAAAGTAATGGTAAATACTGAGAATAGAAAATAGGCAATACTCTAGGAATAGACCTGTATTGAAATACGAACAGATGCCGATAATCCAAAGACTGTTATATCGGTCTTATTTTTACCGGGATTGGTATAATTTCTGTTGGAATATTTTACTTATTGTTGAAAGAAGCTTTCAATCAATCGATCTATGTATAAATTTGTACTAATAGAACACAGATCATTATTTCCCGTATTGAAATATTGCCAAAGTGTGTCTTAAACTTACTTAATATATCTACCGGATCGGTCACCTTATTGTTATTTTCATCCCTGATTCCTGTCGATATGGATCCTTTTTTTTTTTTTTTTTTGCTCTTACATATATCTATCCGGAACTGTCAATTATGATCGACAATCGTCAGATGTGCTGGCGT